TTATTAAGGCATATATATTATATTTAATAAGATCATAATTGAAAAAGTGTACTTCCTCTATTAAAAAATGTAAGATATTTTTAATTGAATTTTGCTTTTCAATAAAATAATTATTTATTTTTAAACTAACAATATCTTTTCATATTTATCCCTATTTAATATGGTGTTTCACCCTAAAGTAAATAAAAATAGTTTATTTAATAGGAGCACTTTTGGAAAAAAAAGTAATAATTATACCTTAAAAAATTAAAAATATCTTACATTTTTTAATATTCAACCTCTCAAAAAATACCTTATATTTTTAAATGAAGGGGGTAATTTTTTAAAAAATTAAGGTCTTGTTTAACTTTTTTAAAATCATAAAATAGTTACTAATATCCTATATTGTGATTCAGAGGGAGAAATATTTTAAAAAAAATAACAATATAAATCAACTAATATAAAGTTTCTATCAAGTTGAATTTTACACAATTATGATAAGTTTTAAATTTATAAAATTCATGTAAGATAAACATACTAAATTCTATAAAAATTCAATAAAAAGTTGGGGGAATAAAATTACAAAAAATTAATAACCTACAAGTCCTCAACAATACAATTAAAGACTACAATATCTATTAACAACTTAACAGAATAAAATGACCCTGAGTTTGTGAAAAACATCAAAGTAATTCTGTCTAAAATTAATAATGCAGTTAAGTCTTAAATTAATCACTGTTCATAATTGTGTATTAACTCAGACAAGACAAAACTATAATGATTGTGTACTCCATAAAACTACACTCCTTGTCACGCCATCCGCATCTTGTCTATTGCGTGGACTTTGGTAAAAAATAATTATTCCCAAACAAAAAACTTGATTCTTTCTTTTACGTTTAAAATTAGGAAAATAACACAGAGGAATGATTATAAATCCATGTTTGGCTATGTGGTCAAAATTCGCCCACATAGGGCAATTTAATAGGATTACTTGCCATTCTACCTTTTGGATCGGCAAACGCAGCCTTTTTAAACAGTCACGCGTTCCTCGCCTCCGATGACATAATATTCTTGCCCCTAGGGCTCAACCTCTATGCAAAGTTCGAACGACGTCGCTTTCATGGTTCATGCATATTCACGATTCTGATTCGTTTCTCCACGCTCCTCTCAGGCGCGTGTAGTCACTATTGCCGTCTTTGCTATTTTTGAACTCCATCCCCACCCCATGTGGCCGAATACACTGATCCTTCACGTCATTTAGGGTTTCGTCTGGAAATATGCCCTCCCAATTTCTTTTAATTACAGATTTACACCTCACCCTTATGTCTTGTTTGCCTGGCTTTTGTTTTGGGAAAATTTTACTGTAAATAGCTAGACCAAAGATAATGAAAAAAAAACCCTTTATATTTTTAAAATTTTACTACAAATCTAAGATACTGAATTAAAATTAAAATTTTCTGAAAAATGATAAGATTATCTCTATTAAAATTATTTATTATAACTTGTTTGTGTCCTTACTACATCTACATATGGTATGTTACTTGTTAGATTATTGTTCATTACTTTATTATACTTATTCATTATAACGCTTTCACTTTAATTAATTAAAGTGTTAGTTTCATGTTAGCATGACTTATTCATGTCCCCATTATATGTAGTTTATTGTTCTTTAAGTCATTGTTCATTATACTACTTCACTTTCTCATTACAAATGCATTCACTTGACTTAATTTTAAACATTGCTTTCATATTAGCACTACTTGTTCATATCTCTACTATATATTGTTCATTATCCTTTAGACTATTATTCATTACTCTACTTTACTTGTTTATAGCATTACCTATTTATAATTCATTTTTTCCTAAATTTCTTTTCTCTTTTAATAGAGACAATTTTTTCATTTCATAGATAATTTTAATTTTAATTCAATACCCTAAGCTCTTGCAATAAAGTTTCAGAAATTTTGGGATTCTCCTTGTTATTATCTCTGCTTCAGAGGTTTTTAGTCAAATTTTCCCTTTTATTTTTTATACAATCATATGTATCATTACCTACTATTTTCAAGTTAAAATTCCAGTATCATTATTATTTTGACCAAAAGTATTATTAATTGGAAATATCTTCCTTCTATAATTTTTTTCCCCGCATACCGCAAGATTCCAATCCTTAATTTACCTAACCTTAGGGTGAGCAAGTATATATGATTCATATGCATTCTAATCTAATGTTAAAATTTAAAAAATAAAGCATAATACATATGAGAATACGTGGAACTGGCGACTTTACTCATCTGAATGTTTTATACTTCCACAAATGTATGTTACATTTAAAAAGAGACAAAGAATTTATATAATAATATACATTATGTTAGCAAAGTTAAATTATAAATTATTCAAAAAGTTAAATTATAAGATCACGTTAAGTTAGCGCCTAGTTGGCTTTGTTATTTTTTTTTTCCAAAAAATTATTTTGCAAAAAATTTTAAAAAATTAATTTTTAAAATAAAATAAGATGAAAATTTGTTTAATTATGTTAATTTTAAAATTTAAAAGTGTGACAGTAATTATCACAATAGCCTTTAGTTAATCATAATTAAAGATAATTTATAATAGTCAAATACTCCCCGTTCAAAAATGTAAGACATATTTAATTGAATCTCACCTCTTAGTAAAGTAGTTACCAACTTTCAAACTAACCATATTTTTTTATATTTATTTCTATTAAACACCTTACGATAAATATAAAATCGTTATCAATAGGAATACTTTAAAAAAATAATTATTATATCTCAAAAGATTACAAATGCCTTAATTTTTTAACACCTAACTCTTAAAAAATGCTTTACATTTTTTAACGGAAGGATTATAATATATTTTAAAAATAAAAACCAAAACGAAAACAGTTCTAAAATATTTATCCAAATTTTTTTATTTTTTAAAATAAAAAAATTAAGGAAAAGAATCAAACAATTGTTTAATTCTATTTTTACACTATTTTTTTTAATTTTTAGAAGCTTATACGATAAGATAAACATGAATTTAACGAATTCCCATAAAAGTGGGAATCTTGAGTTATAAATTTTTGTTAATTAATCCAATTTTCTAATCCCAACTCCGAAGACACCATAGTTCCAGTGGAGAAGAATTATTTCCATTTTACATTCATTTTAAGAAAATATCCAAATTAAGACAAAAATATACAATGTGAATCCTCATTGACATATTGGGGAAAAAAATCAACCCATATCGCACCACCCATGGTACATATCTTAATTTGGTGATCAAATGACTATTTACGTATGTCAATTGTATTAATCATTTGATATTTTAGTGGAAAATCTCCTTTCCTTTTACAATCAAATAGTAGAATAAATTACTTTTGGCAAAAAAAAAAAATAGGATGCATTATTTAAATACTACTTGAAAACGTGTTATACTTTAGGTAAAATGGTGTAACTATTTTAGACTTTTAGTAAATACTCTATTACAATACAATATCACTGACATGTTAGTTTATTTTGTCTTTCATAATTTTTATACACTTTATTGAAAGCCATGTAACAAGTGTTAATAGAATAAGTATGTTAGCCTTAAAAAACATGCGTAAGATGCATTTTCATAAATTTGATTATCTGACATTCTAATAATGAGTAAGAAATTAGAATAAATATTTCCATCCATCTTTTTCTTTTTACAGAAATTTGTGTTGAATGATTATACATTTATGGCATGAACAATAAGTTCTTTTGTCATTTTTTTTTTTTGGATTTATGGAACGAATGTTTGTTGATCTTGACATTACTGTCCTTATCATCGTGTCATCTTAATTGTATTTTTAAAAATAATATAATCATGTTTAATTTAAATAAAATAAAATAATATTATATAAATAATAAGCACTATATTTTTTTTTTACCATTTTTAGATTACAAAAAATAACTTAACATTTTTAGGTTAAAATCTTCCATAACAAGCGGTCAAACAGAAACTACAGGATACTAACTAAATGTGGCATGTCTGATTTGGTTTCAGTTTTCACATTCCAAAAATCATTTGTGAAAAATTAGTTTCAAAGAAACTTTGGAAACAAAATTTTCATTTTTTTTCTTATTTTAAGAATAATGCATATGTAATTTTTTGAAAATTTCTAAATATTTGGTTTACTTCCATATTTTTCCAATGATTTATTTTCATTCAAATAATGACTACAAATATTAAAACATAATGGTATACATTAAGAATATTATTGTTGTTAATTTTAACAGTAGTATAATCATCAATTAAATCAGCTTACAAAAATACTCATAAAAATACCTTCTCTATATGTTTTTACAGTAAAAGAAACACAGGTTAAAATTATTTTTCAAAGAATTAAAAATCAATACATGAATAATTAATACACACACTCATATACAAATATCCATATAAATTTTATAAAAAAAAAATATTCATAAGTCATAAATAATAATATTATTTCTTTAAATGTCTACAATGCACAAGAAATGTATTTAGTATAATGATAAGATTTGTAATAGAATATTTTATTTAAAATTTATTTATATGAGTTATTGTATAAATTCTGTGTAATGCAAATACAGTGTGTGTGTATAAATAGCCAGTAAAAAAATAATTCCTCCATTTAAAAATATAAGATATTTTTTGAGGAGTTGGATATTAAAAAATTTAATATATTTTTAATCTTTTGAGATATAATTATTACCTTTTCTTCTAAAAGTGCCTCTATTGATAGTGACTTTATATTTATTATAAGGTATTTAATAAGGATAAATATAAAAAGGTAAAGTTAATTTAAAAATAAATAATTATTTTATTAAAAGATAAAATTTTATTAAAAATATCTTATATTTTTGAACGAAGTTTAAGTTAGATTTTCTTCAAAAATAGAAGTGAGGCCAAACAAGGCGTTAGGATTCTAATCAATCGTGGGATCAAACGGTAGAAGATTGTAAAATCCAAGGACCCCACAGACCACCAATAATTGATCATCCTCCTAATCCTCCCTGTATTCAAGCTGGCGCCGTTGTCTCCCTCTTCCTGCTTCTCATCTGTCTCTCCCTGCTCTTCATCCTTCCTTCTATTCCTTCATTCAGATCCTTAAACCCGCAATAAGTATCCACTTTTCTTTGCTCTCTACCTCCAAGTTCCCAATCCCAATGCTTTAACAAGCTTCAAGCTTCAACAAACAATGGCTTTCTTCTCTAGCATTCGTTTTCTTCCTCCTCCTCTTCTTTTTCTACTTTCAATATGTCTCTTATTCTTTCTCACATTCGCAGCAGCTTCGAGCTCTGCTAAATTGTCTATCTATGAAGTTCTTCGCGCCCATGGACTCCCCATGGGCCTGCTTCCAAAGGGCGTGAAGGAATTTGACATTGACAAGGAAGGTCGCTTCTGGGTGCATCTAGATCAAGCTTGCAATGCCAAATTCGAGAGCGAATTGCATTTCGAGCAAAACGTTTCGGGGACTTTGAGTTATGGCCAGATGGGGGCGTTGTCGGGGATAACGGCGCAGGAGCTGTTTCTTTGGTTTCCGGTGAAGGGTATTCGCGTGGACATACCGAGTTCTGGGTTGATTTATTTCGATGTAGGCGTTGTTCGTAAGCAATTCTCTTTGTCCCTTTTCGAGACGCCACCGGATTGTTTGGCGGCTCCGTCTGGAGAGGCGGATGGTTTCCAAGATGGGTTGATCATGGCGGACTCTGTTTCCGAGGTTTGATTAATCCGATTCTTTCATTTTCTTTGGTTATTGTTTGATTTTCGATTGATTTAGTGTTTATGTTGATGCCAGCCTCATGGAGCTAAGCTAAACATAGATGGTGTGTCGAATTGGATATATATTCAACCGATACTGCGCATCAACTTGTATTTAAATATAATATATCTTGTCACGGTGATAGTGTTTGTATGGTCTCTTGAGTCTTGATATTAGTGGTCCTTAATCTTGGAGGAAGAGCCAGGAAGGAAGCTCTCAGATTAGCCAACTTCAGCAGTTGTGGTTTTTGGTTTGGTGGAGGGTCATGTTCCCAACTATTCCTTCATGTGATCTTTTCCTTTTCTTTCGGTGGTTAAGTAGAGTCTCTTAAAAACACTGAATAATTGGTTAGGTTATGCTTTTGTTTTATCTTTGTCCTCCTATGTTGTCATGCAACAATGGAAAGTTGCCTTTTGACTTTACAAACCGAAGAAAAGGCTTTCCACTACTATTCTACTTTACTGCTTCATTCATATATAATGTTTTCCTCGGACCTCAGGTGATCATGCCATGATGTTGGGGTCAAATATGAGTAAAGAGTGATAAAAAGTCTCACAATGGATAGAATTAGACACAGACTGGTTGAAGAGGTATATAAGTAGAATAAACTCATAAATTTTAGCGTGACTTAATGTTAAGGTCAAGAATTGATATCAAGCTCATTTATATATTTCCTCTCAAAGTCCAATGAAGAAAAAGATATATTGAATCTTTCTAGTATATGAGGTTCTCTCAGGTCTTCTTTTGATATTAGGATAATGACCTTTGGTGTGTTATGTGATGTAATAGTTTCACACAACTGATACAATTTCTGAATTCTATTTAGTGTATATCTTTGGAAACAATTAATTGAGCTGAATATTCATGCTGCAATCTATTCCTTGTGCAGAGTCAATCTGGAAAGCTTCAATATCAGCTTGATCAGGAAAATTTTGGAAGGGAGGTTCTGTAGATGATGTAAGAGGAGGTGAATGAAGTTGTGTTGTAGTTGGATCGTCATGGGTTCTCCAATCATATAGTATATATCTTTGGAGAGTATAAATTAACAGGAGCAGTGTGGTACTTGTTTGTCTTTTCTTTCCTCATATAGTGCAGAGTTAGTGTAATAGAGGCAGCCCCTGCATCTCAGTGATTAATTGACAAGATACTCGAAAAAAGTGCAGCAACATAATAAAGCTAGACCAGAGCATTTGGTTGAGATGAATTCGGGTAACAAGTCTGAAAAGATTCTTGCTCTATGTCAAGTTTTCATGTTAGTATAGTTAGTTACATTTTGAGATGAATCAAATTGTGCATTCTATCTTCAAGAATATAATGCACTGATACAACATATTTGGTGTGTTACAAACCTGCATTTCAATTGTGAACTATGGTTCAAGTATGAGTAGTTTCTTAGGGTTCAAATATTCAGATTGAGTGACTTGACGAAATCTGATGTCTGATTAGGAAGCTTCAATTTCTTCAAGGAACTTATGTTTCAACTTCTTCTTGTGCTCAGGTACATACATGGTGGACACAATTCAAGGCAGAGGGCTTTGAGTAATTTTGGTCTTCTTGTGTATATTCTGATTTGGTGTTCTCTGTATATGGATACTTTTTTTTTTTTTCTGAGAAACAATAAAATTTTATATTCTGGAATTTTCATCTATATCTTCTCTTTCTGTGTTGCCGCTATAATGCAAGACCATCATGTTGATAGAAATTTACAAACTGGTATTTTCATTATGCTTCCTTCTCTAGGTTCGCAAATGATCAGATGCATGAAGATATTTCTGTGTACAGAATCCATGAATTTTTGTTTTTTTTTAAAGGAGAATGACATTTACGTCTCTTGTAACTTGTTAGAGAATTTTTAATATTTTGGTTCTTCTTCTTTTTGGAAAAATATATTGTTAAAACAGTATATTATGGTTGTCAATCTATAAAAGATCATGTGTTCAAGAAACCAAAGTGTTAATGTTTTCCTTACAAGAAATGCAAGTGTCATTTTTCCTTTGAAAAAAAAAAGGATTAATGAGCAAATAAAACTTTAAATTTTTGTTCGAAAATCGTTTTAGATTTTAAACTCTTAAAATATATAAAATAAATATTAAATTTTTAAGTTTATAGTAAAATAAACCTGACTGTTAATTTTTTAACATCATTACTATTCATGCAGGTACTATTCATGATTTATTTTTTTACAAATTCAACCTTGACTATTACAGTATTTGTATGGACAATAACAATATTAAAAAAACTAACAGTTAAGTTTTATTTTACCATAAATTTAAAAATTTAAAATTTATTTTGCATATTTTAAGAGTTTAAGGTTTAGGACGATTTTCAAACAAGAGTTCAGGTTTTATTTACTCATTAACAAAAAAAAAAGAATAAATAATGAATGAATAATAATAGATGCATGGTTTTGGTTTTATATAATACGTTTGATGATTTCTATAATATGTTTATCTCAAGGAGGGAAAATCTTGTTCAGCTTTCCCTTGGCAATGGAATGGATCATGCATTACATATTGTTACAAATAATTTAGGAAAATCACAATCATCCATCCTTATGGTATCATTTGGTTTTGTTTTAGTTTCTATAATTTTTTAGTATTTTCTGTTTTTATAATTCCAGCAAAATTGAGTAATGCTTGTTAATTAGGTTTTTATAAAGACTGAAAATATTAAAAAAAATTACAAGAATTAAAAATAAAATTCAGTAAAATTATAGGAACTAATAATTATATTTTTTTTCAATAATTTTACTCAACATAGCTTTTGTTAAAAGAGCTTATATTGCTTTGTTTGGTTTTGTCCCATCCGAATTAATTAATCTGATCTCATCTAATTAATTATTCTAATTAAATTGCGATTCCACTAAGAGAAAATAGATTAGTCAATTTGCTTTGAGGGCGCATTTGGTAATTGGCATGAAATAGGAATTGAAAAGGGAATCAAAATGAGGAAGTTCTCTTCTATAAACATGAGCATCTCTCTCTCTCGGTAATTGGCATAAAATAGGAATTGAAAAGGGAATCAAAATAAGGAAGTTCTCTTCCATAAACATGAGCATCTCTATTGGCATAAAATAGGAATTGAAAAGGGAATCAAAATAAGGAAGTTCTCTTCCATAAACATGAACATCTCTCTCTCTCTCTCTCTCTCTCTCATCGTCATCTATCAGATACAATAAAAATACTTATCATCACTTTTTTTCATTTTTTTCATAGGGTTAATGAGTGAATGGGACCATGAATTCTTACTTGAAAATTGCCATAGATCATAAATTCTTAAAATATGCAGAATAAATCTTAAAGTTTTAAATTTATAGCAAAATAAATCTTGAACGCTAACTTTTTAACAATGTTATTATCCACACATGTATTGTTTAGGGTTTATTTTTCTACGAATTTAATCCTGATTATTACAATACTCGCACGAACAGTAACAATATTAAAAAAGTTAGCAGTTAAAGTTTATTTTGTTATGAATTTAAAAGTTTAGAGTTTATTTTGCATATTTTAAGAGTTCAGAATTCAGGACGATTTTCAAGCAAGAGTTCAGGGTGCTATTTGTTTATTAACCCTTTTTCATATACAAAATATAGCCTAACAGATTTAATACTCTCTCTCAAAGAAAATTCTCCAATGCAAATGAAAAAAGAGTTGATAGCCAATTTCACTTATAAACTATAGGTTAAGAAATGTATGGGATTTTAAACTTATTTTTTATATATATTTTCTTTCAACTTCAAAAAATAGTAGAATACTGCCCTCACTGATAACAAATGTTAATAACTATTAGTTATTAGAGAATTATTAAAAATGACATAAAAAATGATGGGAAAAAAGGACCCAAAATAATATGAAAGGATCTCAAATTATAAAAAAGAATTAAAAAATTTTCCTTAGTCCTTTTCTATAATTTATTGGTTAACTGATGGTCAAAACTAACATTTGTAAATAGTAGTATAATATTGTATCATTTTTAAAAATTGAAAAAAAATATCATACAAAAAATAAGTTTAAGATTTTAAATGTTCTTGGTCCTATAGTTTAAATGCAAACTTATCATTTAACTCAAGGGAAAAAAGAGAGAGAGAAAAAGAAAGGTGAGACGTAAACATCCACATTTTGGAAAAATATTTTCATGGACGGTTCAAAAACACAAAAGCAGACAAGACTAACATTCTTTTACTAGATTCGGGAATATCGAAAGAGGGCATTTGACACCAAATGGGAAGAAAGAAAGCTTATGAGAAAAGAAAGAATGTTGTATTGTGAAATAGGAACAAGATAGATTGGAGGTGGGCTATAGTCAGTATTAAATGTAGAGTTAATTGGGGACATGCGTCTGGGAGATATTTATGACAAGAATGAAGGAACCAAAGGAAAGTAGAGTTAATGACTCCCAATTATATACTTTATTCGTTAAAAAATATAAAATATTTTTTAAAAGGTTGAATATTTAAAAATGTAAGATATTTTAAAATTTTTGAGGTGTAATCATTATTTTTTTAAAAAGTGTCTCTATTGATAATAACTTCATTTTTATTGTAGGATATTTAATAGAGGTAAAAATGAAAAGATAAAGTTAGTTGCAAAGTAGGTAACTACTTTATTGGGAGGTGAGATTCGATTAAAAATTTTTTATATTTTTAAATGAAGGGAGTATTTAAATTATATCACTCTCAAGCTTAACTATCCCATAACTTCTAAAACTGTATTTTATTGTATTATTGGCTTGTTTTTAATTTCAAGATAGTACCTAAATCATTTGTTAAATTGGAGGGTAAAACTGAAAAAAGATTGATATTTTCACATTCCATTTGTTTAATATTATAAAGCATTTCTTAAAAAATAATATATTACAAAATGTAAGAAATTTTGAATCTTTCAAAATGAAATTAATAAAGTTTATCCAAAAATACCATTAATTAGAGGAGTAATCGATAAGATTTTTTTAAACTAAGAATCCTTATTAAATAAGAATAAATGTAAAAATAATATAATTTTAAAATAATTAACTATCTTATAATATTAAATAAAGAGAAAGATGAATAATTAAAGAAAACTATGAGGCTTTGAAGAGTCACATTCCTTGATGTATTGTTGTTGGAGAAGAGGACAAATAGAGTGAATTTTATTTTGGGAGGATTGAACAAAGTTATGAGGTGTGTCGTTAGTGGAAGTTGGTTGATGAACTCAATCTTATCCCATAGACATGCTCAATGGGGGGCTTACTTATGTTGTCTTGGTATTTGACACTTAAAAACTAACAATTGACGTCAGTCAATTGTGTGTGTGTGTTGCTGTGATTGGTGAGTTGTGTTATAATTAATTAATGCTTTATTTATTATGCTACTTTCATTTCATGTTGTAGTTATTACAGTATTGCTCGATGTTTATTATAAAGCACATCTGATTATTTTATTAAAATCAAATTGAGAGGATTAAGTTATTAATTTTATTTAAAAATAAAATAAAATTTTAATTTTATTCATATTTAAATAAAATTTTTTAAATTCATATTACGTTTTTGCTCATAATTAATGAGTTTAAATGAGAGTAATATTAAAAGAATGTACTCCTTTCAACCCTATTTATAAAATAAAGAAAGAACATTTTTCTCATAGTTATAGGTTATGTTATTAAATTTTTATTATAATTTTTTTTTTACTTTTCATTAAATGTTGGACAAAATAAAATATGTTATTTAAATGTATATATTTGATATGGGTAAAGTTAAAAATTTATTAAATTTTTAGATAGAGTTAATGATTTTTAGAATTTTTATTAGTTTCATTAAAACATATTAAAAGTGACTTATAAATAGAATTAAAAAAGTAATTGATATTCCATCAAATAATTTGTATTATGAACTGAAAGAATCTTTTTAAAAAGCGTTTTATAATAGAAAAAACAAGGAGTATATAATAAAGTTAACCTCCAAATCATTCAATAAAGTTGTAAATTTTGGAAGGATAGTCGTGAATTTGTTATAACAAAGTTTTTCATGATAGTGAGGAATTTTTTTGTGAATTTAATATAATGAAGATTAATTATAATTGGATAATTGTTAATGGAATTATTTTAATTTAGTTGACATGAAAAAGAACTTCTTATTATGTAGATAACTAATAAATTTCAAAAAAATTATATATGTAAATTTTCTATAATTAAATTGTAACTAGTAACAGTAGTTGTGAATTTGTTATAATGAAATTAATTCTAATAACATAATTGTTAATAGAGTTGTTCAATTGAAAGAAATAATAGTAGCTTCTTCCTCCTCTTCTACTAATGCAACTCCATTGACAACTATTCTATAAAAATTGATAATTTTATTGTGGAAAATTCACGAGTATGTTTATAACCGAATAAACCCATTGACAATTATTCAAATTATAGAATTAAAAATTATCATTTTGAAATTAAGAACTTCATTATAGCTTATTCATAATTATCCTTTTGAAACTTATTAGTCATTCACATAAGAAAAATTTTCTGTTTTTGTCAACTGAACAATAGATCTATTAACAACTTATTAGGACGGACAATTTTACTATAGCAAATTCACAAAAATATTTATGACTAATCCTTTTAAAATTGATAATTCCACTATATCCACTTTTACCCAACGAAATTTACAATTTCCTTAAATGGTTTGGAGGCAAAGTTAATTATATATGTGTGTATAATATTTTGCATTATAATATTAAAAGATATTAGGGATCCAATGTCTGATTTTTTTTTTTTCAATAAATTAAAAATGTTACAAGTGCAAATCTTATCTTAATCACTTTAAAATCATTTCACTTTCAGGTGCCATCGGTTGAGAGTGGCTTCAAACTAATGCCGGTGACTTTAGCAGCCGCTAGTGGTGACTTTGGCTGACAGCCATGATACTGTCTCTGTTTTTATATATATAAAAAAATTACATCATATAATTTAAGAAATTCAATTAATTATAATAATGATGTCTAAAAATAAAAAAAATAAATTAAAATGTCTTGTGTTAGTAAACACAAGTATACATTAATGATTTTTCATTAATGTAAATCATGAGGGTTGATTTAAAAAATATGTAATAAATATTTATTAAAATGAATAATTTTGCTTATAAAAAAATATAAATAAAAAATAATAATTTCTCTAACAATAAAAAATAAAAGGAGCAGAAGGATGTGACTTCAAAGGCATATATGTAATTGTCCATCAAAATTTATTTTGAATTGAGGACTTAGGGACTACGCGAAGTTTCATAATTTTTAAAGACTAAAGTGTTAAAAAAAAAAATTCTTCCACAGAACTTGAATGAAATTCTACAAATTTTAAATTTTACTAGATTATTTCGGAGATGAAATATTATTAATATATCTTACAAATTTATAAAATAGTCTTATTATTTATTTTTTCTCTAATTTTAAAAATGCTTTGTTTTATATAAAATCCAGTTAACTATAAATTAAATTATATTCCATAGTAGATATTATTCACTGATTAACTTGAGAGAGCCTAATCCAAGTGTTTGATTTATTATTTTTTTTATCAAATCAATCAACATGCAACTCTCACTTTCTATTGTGTCATTTATTTGTATGATATGAAATGTCATTTTAAAAGTTTTTATATATTGTTTAACTTATTTTCTTCCCGTTAGCTCCTCCTATAATACAACAAAGTTGGAAAAGGTCGTATTCTTAAAGTCGTTATTAAATATTGATCCACAAATCGAGAAGCCAATTGATTATCAACAAAACAAGGGAAGCTGATGAAGCATCCTAGCTTGAAATTTGTCGTCTTATATGTGAGTGAGTGATTGTTAGGTAAATAATTCAAGAAAGACAAAAAAAAAAATTGGGAAAAAGAGGGATGTGACAAAGGCAACAAACCATGTGAGGGTTGTATCAACCTGCACTGCACCCGTCAATATGTGAATGTACTACGTAGGGCCCAAGCGTTATGAGTACAGAGTTCAAGAAATTTTTTGAATGCGTAGTCAAACGTAAACCTATTTCCTATTGACTTTTACTATCGTTCGGCTTATTTGTCTTACTTTTGGATCAGAACCAGACCTTCCTTCCGTACCCACCCAAATTTTTAATACATTTTTTTAGGATAAAATTACGAAAAATTAAAAATAAACCCCATACTGTTACCCCCTCTATTTAAAAATATAAAATATTTTTTAAAAAGTTAAATATTTAAAAATATAAAATATTTTTAACCTTTTGTGATGTAGTCATTTTTTTTTAAATGCCCTGTTGACAATAACTTTAGAGTTATTATATGATGTTTAATAGGAATAAATATATAAAGATAAGGTTAATTGAAAGTAGGTAACTATTTTATTAGGAGTGAGATTGATTAAAAATATCTTACATTTTTAAACGGAGGGAGTATTTATTTACAAATAAATTCAAAAAAATTTTAAAACTACAATCAAGTTCCTCAAAATTTGAGTGTAATTTATGATTAGAGTATAAGGACAATACTGCCCCTATTAATTTGACTTTCACTTACAACTATCAATTCACAATTTACAAGTAAAACTTCATGCTTCCTTCAGATCACAATATAATGCATAGCTAATTAATTCATGATTTATGAACAATGTTAGTTGAAATATTAAATTCTCAAAAATGTCAACATCTTACCATTTATACCCTCATTAAATACCCTAGCCTTGATAATAGTGATTAAAATTTTAATGCATATTTTTTTTAAAAAAATAATAAATGAAGTAAGGGTATAATTGGAAAGACAAATATAAAAATTATTCAATATCCTATATTTTGAATCAAGCAAGGTTTCTAAAAAATACATTATATTGTGGTCTTGAGAGAGTAATTTATAAGTCAAATTTCTTATTTAATACTTGATATAATATAGTCTTTTATAAAGTCAATTATATTTACTTAAGTTATAATTACATGGTGAATTACATATTTTACATCTCAATTAGACCAATTATAGTTTTAAATAGAGATAATCAACTCCAAAGAGACTTCATATTATATGAAGTATTAAACGAGAAATTTGACTTTTAAATTGTAAAGTTATAGTTGTAATTAAAAACCAAATTAATAGGGATAGTATTGTAGTTTTTAAATTTTACAAGACTTATTTGTAAATAACTCTACTGTATAGGTCCTATTTGTAATTTTTTCATAAAATTATAAATATTTTTTTATCAAAATAAAATTATGCATATTAATAAAATTTATTAAATATATTTTATAATTTTATTTTTTAAAAAATACAAATATAAATGTCTAAAAATATTATTCATTTAAGATAACCCTATTTGTGAAATATTAAATAGAGAGAAAAAATATTATAAGGAGGGAAAAGTAATATATTAGAATAGGTATACTTTATAAAATTTATTTTTATTAATATATTTTATTTTTGGAGTAGAGAAAGAGAAGCATATGTTTGTTTTCCCCTTTTCTTTTGGGCCTAGTTTGTCTCTTGGCATCTCCTCCTTGGTTCCCTCCTAAACTCGTATTAGCAATTTTTTTTTTTTTAAAAAAAGAATCTCCCTATGTGAGTACTGGAGGGAGACTTTTGAATACACATAGAAACAAACTAAACTTGACATACCTAGCAGGATCGAACCTGCCATTTATCACTTGTATTTAGCAATGTTAAGCTTCATGGCACTAGATCACAAGATCATTGATAGTACAGTTTTATTTCACGTTGATTTTGACCCAAAAATAATGTGATAGTAACGCCGCCTTAAACTTGTGAAATCACTTTTGCACTAGAAAATAAACAAGCAATTAATCCTCATAATGTGATCTGTTTTATTTGCTACACTTCTATGTTATTGCCATCAGATCATTCTTCACAATCCTTATTATAAAACTATCAACAAGTCGTCTAATATTTTTTTTTTCCCTAAATGCCTTTTACTCCAGTATTTTCTATCTAAACAACTCCTAACTAATTCATTAACCTCTATCTAATAAGCTTCATTGATAGTAATTCAAGAAATTTAAGATAATTAACTAATTTTAACTGAATTTCTTAATCTACAAGGACTTATCAAATAACCTATAATAAGGATGAAAGGAAATACATCCTAGCTTGGATTAAGAACCTTACTTTCCCTAACAGGGTAGATCCATGGTTAGTGACTTTTGTTTGCCAATCAGCAATCAATTACCATCCTTTGATTAGCAGAAGATTTGAGTCTAACAGAAAGGATTAGCATTTCACGTGATAAACTAAGATTTGAATTTTGTTGGGAGAAATACCCACATTTAATGATCAACAGGCGACAGTCCCAAATAAAATTACCTCTAAATAGAAAGAGAGCGCAGTAAGCAATAAAATATCCAGCAACAAGAGTCCAAAATTCTGTTAGTAATGTATTAATAAATAAAATGGTTCGAGTCTGTACAGAAATCAGTGCAAGCAGCTAAATAACAAAAGGTGGCCTTCTCTACATATAAATACATCCATTTCTATGAAATTTCAGCTCTGATCATGTGTATATTATGTTGTCATTTTAACCTATTTCCTAGTAGGTTCATATATGACTGACCTTTTGTACAATTCAAAAGCTTTCTATATCACTATCATTCCTAAACATCTCTAATGAGTGGCTATAAATTAGACGAGAGCTGTCAGACTGACTTAAACTGCAAGTAACAAAACTTAACCCTTCAAAGTAGAATTGGGTTGCAGAGGAAGTAATGATGGAAGGTCTCTTATTCTGAAGCCATTTCCCCAGAAAGAGGCAAGACAGAGACCCATTATGGCCATAGCTACTACAGAGCATGCAGGTGGAACTGCCTGACTACTTCCCAAGAACTGGGTTGCAAGAAGACCTGCAAGTGTGGAGCTCTGCATTCCTGTGCATAGCGAAATCGTCCGGCTTACTTTTTCACCTTGCCTGTGTGATAATTTGTGGTGTCAGATATTTCAAGGTAATATATTTGCATGTAAGAATGATGCATACAAATATTACTTTTATAACTATTCAGTGGTACTTCTCTCTTTATTACTTTTTATATAGCATACAAAGATCGTCTGATAAAAACATAAACGCTTGATATAGTCATTCGGCTTCATTTTTAAAACAACCTAAAAATTTAGCCAATATTAAGATAGTCTATCATCTGCTATCATAATATTCATCTTATGATCTTAACCCAATGAATATTATCATATAACAGAATTTGAACCTCATATAGTCAGGTCTATAAAGAATGAGCAGCTGTGACTGACTAGTCACTAAAAGGTCGCAATAAAATGTACAGTTAATATCCAAGCCTTAAATCTGCATCTAAGGAATGGAATTTGGACTGCTTTGATTTTGTTTAGTTTCTAAATTTCAAATCTTGGACGTGAGCATACCTCAATGTTGGAATGTTTGAGATCCAATATCCTAAAGTGAAGGCAACAGCATGAAATGTCAGCACAGGAAAAACCAACCGAAGACCTTCGCCAGACAGAATCTGACTCCGGTTTATAGCAAGTGGGCTGCCAATGCACATCGAAGTACATATCATTGCAACAAAGGGCATCACAGGTTGAAGAACAGATACAACTGGCTTTGCATATGTATTGAGCAGAAGTCCAAGAGTAACTGGAACAAGAACAACCTGCCAAATATTTCCAACTACATCCATCAAATTCAAAACAAGTAGAAGATTTTGAAAGCACTTAGCTGGTGAAAACTTCTGAAGCGTGGAAAATGTGGCAACTGGCAGCTAAAGCAAGCTTTGCAAGTGGTGGGGGTCCACTAGCACAGTTGCTTTGGCAAATTTCTCCTTGGTTAGACAGTTTTCCTTGTAGGGAACTAATTACCTGTAGGATTGACTTTGAGATGGCAATGGCATCAACAGGAACTATGGATCCAATAACAAGACCTGTTAATACAGGTGTTAAAAGAACTGAAGCAATTGTGGTACAGCTTGTCAGGAGAATGCTAAGTGCAACATCCCCTTTGCTTAGAAAGCTTGCATAGCTGGATAGCTGAGCCCCCGAAACACAAGCTGTGAGGACAAATCCAGCATAAAACACCCTTGGCATGCCAAACGCCTTTGCGATCAAGACACCAAGAGCAGGTTTTAGCACATACTGTGCAATGAACCCAATGGAAAGTGGTAAAGGTCTGCCACAGATAAGAGAACAATGAAACTTGCAAGTAGATTCATGATTTCATAAAGTTGAATTAAGCAGAAATGAGGCGGTATTGAAAGTCACACCTTTTAAATGCAAGAGCAAAATCATCAATGGAAAGTTTTATTCCAATAGACAACATAATCCCACCAAGAGCAGGGGCATATAACTCTTTAGATACCCTGGAGAAGTTGAAAGCTCTTAGTTCTTCCATTATCAAGCTATTTCAATACATATTTTTTTCTTCAATTTACTCATAGAATGCCAAATTATTGACTTCAAGAGCAACCAAAAGAAGAACGAAATAAAAATAGAAGAATATCAACTTCGTTTCTTTGAGAAGAATAGGAAAAGGGGCAGCCATGGCAAGTACCACAAACAAGTTCCCAATACTCTCTTTAGGAGCGTTTTATCAAACACGTTAAACCTGTTAGACATTACAACAACAATAACAACAACAACAACAAGCCTTTATCCCATTAGGTGGGGTTGGCTACATGGATTGCAAGAGACTATCGTGCGGTTAGACATTCTAATAACAAAATATCGTCACCACTCAATAATCAAAACAGTTAAATCAATTTACTTTCTAATTAAAAAAAGAAAATTTAGCCGTCAAAGTATGAAAGGCAAGGTCCAAAACTCAATTATGAGAAGTTGAACACAAACAATTGAAATACCACGTTAACAATGGACAAAGGATAATAATAATAAATAAAATCAGCGCGAACAGTTTCAATCGTTTTCCCCCCTCACATAAAAGTCCAATTCAACATGATAAAAAATTAACATCACATAAAAACGATAATCACCGAGAAAACCCACCAAGTAAAAGTGGAAGGTTGAGCTAAAGCAGCAATTGCAGTGGCAAGAACAACAAACGGAAGCATCGATGACAAAACCTGGGACCAATCCCTTTTACCCACGTCAACTACGGCACTCGAATCAATCCCAAAATAAAGCAAGGAAACATTCCCTTTCCTTCTGGGCAAACCAACTCTTCCTATGAAAGGCGAGGTCGAGCAAGCGTACGTCGGCAGAGTGCCATTGCCACAACCCCTCGGAATCTTCAAGAATGGATAAGAAGAAGAAGGACAAGAGGGAGAAGAGCATGCAAAACTTGAAATTCGGAGCTTAGGCTTAGCGTGTACTGTGGACGACAGAATGGGAGTTGACAGTAATGAAGAGGAACAGAGAGCTCTTGCCATTGAATTGAGAAATGGCGCTTTCACCGGCTCTAATGGTGTCGCCGGCAGTGGCTTCTTCTTGCCGGCAAGCTTCCGAGAAACCAGGGGAAGTGGGAAGATAAGTGCGTGTTCTAGAGCGTACGGCAGATGAAGAGATAGAGCGAGCATCTTATATCTATGCCTCTCGAAAAGATTAGCGAGAATCACACTGCGAGCCTTAAAATAGTAAAAAATTTTTGTTTTACACCCAATATATTTTGATATAGGCTCTAGGGCTTTTGTGATTTTTCTTGAAAGTAAAAATATAATTTTATTTTTTTATGATTTAAAAATTTAAATAATATATAACATAATATTTATAGATATATAATATAGTATTCATAAATTTTCAATACTATATCTATGTGCATTCAATTGATTTGTAACTTAAAATATATAAGTCAAATAAAATATATATATATATATATATATAATATAATATAATATTCATGAATATACAATATTATATTCATAAATTTTTGACACAATGTTCATGTGTTTAGTTAATATATAGATTAATTAAAATAAAGTCACACAGAGCATATACAATACAATATCTATGAATCTATAACACGATATTCATACATGCACAATATAATATTCATTAATTCTCAACACAATATCCATGTGTGTCATGCAGAATATTCAGTTGAGAATACATGAACATTATATTGTACATTCATGAACATTTTATTATATATTATCTGCGTCACTTATACATTTTATTAAATATATTGATTAATTAAATATATATAAATATTGTGTTAAAAATTCATGAACATTATATTATATATCAATAGACATTATGTTGTACATTATCTAAGTTTTGAAATTATATAAGGGTAAAATTATATTTTCACTCTTAAAAAAATTACAATAAGGGCCCTTAGGCATGCAAGGTAATATCAATATATTGGGCCGTCAGTGTAATTTTCTACTCTTTTGCAGCTTGCTGTGGGATTCCCTAAAAGTGTATGAGCAAGATCAGACACGTGAAGGTACACGATAGGTTGTAATCGGTTTGGACAGTGGGCTTTAATTTGGCCTTTGACTAAATTCAGTTAAATGTATACAGACGGCGGCATGAATTTTAGGTGTTTGTTACCCCTAAAATTATGATATTATTTATAAAAAATAAATTATAATATTTATTATATATATTGACATGTTAATGCAATTTTAGTCTAAAAACCATGATAAATGTTGTAAATATTAGTAATTATTTTAATTTAAATAATAATTATTTTTATTTTGATAATAATTAAAATGAGATAGTAAATAATGAATTTTAATTTGTACTTTTTTTAATTACTAATCCATTTCCTTTTTAATTTAAATTGGACCATTATAGTTATTTCAAAAAATATTAGCATAAAAAAAGGTCTCAAGATACTTAAAAAAGAATTACTACATTTTAAAAGATTTCATTATCATTTGCATATTTTTTTTGGAATGTTTTAGTCATTTTCATCCATATTATTATAAGTCTTTTAACTTCAAAGATGAAATATTTCAGTTTTTACTCGGTCCTTATTGTCAATGTGGATTCTTGTTAACATTTTAATTGACATGTAAACTTGATGTTGGGCCTGCTTATTTCATTAATATCTAAAAAATGAGTAATGTTCACTTGTAAATAATATAATTTAATATCAATAGAATGTTCTATTTATATTGAATGATATTTTTAATTAAAAAAAGATGGGATGAATTGGGCTTTTTTAGAGACTCACAAGTTACAAGGATTATAGCATGTTTTTATGTGCAAAGAATGCTTATAAAAATTTTTAAAAGTTGTCCATAAGTAAAGCTTTTTATATTAAAGGCCGTATTTCAACTCAAGACTTTATTAATTATAGACTAAATTCTTAGCAAATAGAACTTTGTTGACACATTGAATGATTTTGTATTTTCATTAGTTAATGTAGCCTTAAGAATTATATAAGTGTGCTAATTTAGTCCAACCTCATTGGTTGAACTTATTTGCAATAAATAGAAGCAGTCATATTCAAAAATTTCTTCCACATGAACTCTGATGGGGTAATGTGTGGTTCTCCTTTTGTTCAATGCATCAGAGCCGTTTTCTTTATTTTTGTTTGCTTCTCGTATATTCGCATTAAAACCACAAGCTCCTTTCTGTATTCGCAAAATTAGGAATCACGTGACAACGGACTTTGACGTGTACCTTTTTTTTTTTTTTGTTGGGGTATTGATTGGGATCAAATCAACTTCATCTTATCTAATGTATAAGTCGCCTTCTGGAAGATATTCATAATCTTTTTTGCAAGTTAATTTCCATTAAAAAATAGATTATTAATTATTTTCTTTCAATTTCACCGTTTCATAATTTTCGATGGATAGAGAATAAAAAATTACATGAAAGAAATCATATTTTTATAGATGATGTCTTCAATAAGGATAAGTTGAGAATTTTTTTTTTACAATACTAATAATTAGGATACATTTCCTTAATTTTGATAAAATAGTTGAAAATAAAATAGTTGAAAATAAGATAACTTATAAATAAGATTAAAGAAAATATTCCTTTTAATATATGGCCACTTTTGCTTCAATGGAATAAGCCTGATAGAATGAATTGGAAGAGGGATTCATAAAGCTTTAGGTTTCTCAAAAATAAATGTTTGTCTAATTATTAAAAAAATTAATTTAATATTAATATTTATGAGATTTTTGCTTATCATTTTCTCAAAATTTTATCGTTTGGTGTATGGGAGTGCCGTGGCCAATGGAATGGCGCACACTCTCATTTGTGGCAAAATGGCCATTTCATCATAGGACCAGAGAAATGGAATCTATTCTTGGAAATGACTATAGTATCCGCTTTTTATTAATTTTTCGGACAATCATGCCTTGCTCCAAGCCGCTGGTCTTCATCTCTCCTTCATTCATCACTTCACCATGCTTCCTCTTCCTCCTCCATCATACGGTGCCACCCTCCAATTTTTAACAAAACTCATGTCTAAGCCTCCTTCTACGCTCGTAGCACCACCTGTAGGCCTACTATAATTAACCAACTAATTAAACCATACTATCATGATAATTAATATTAATGTTTTAAGTTAACTATTATCATAGCAGGAAAGGCTTGACTGTGATTATAAAAACAGGATCTCAATGAAAATCAATTTTTAAAATCATTGAGTTTATAATATGTAAGATCAAAGTGGTCTAACCAACGGAAACATGAGGTAACCCAATTCAATCCATAGTCCATCCATGGACAATAATATCCAAATCATAATTTAACAAGTATATCAACATTTCCAAAACCAACTCACGACACAATAATCTCTAGCCAAACATAAGCCCTACAAGCTTGATTAAACTAAGTGGCTAGTTAGGTAGGGTTCAACAATATAACCAACATACTCCCTCTATCCATATATATAAGATGTTCTCTAAAAACTTATTTTGTCTTTAAATATAAAGGTTATCATGATTTTTTAGTAATTAAATAATTTTGCTCTTATATTAAAAAATAGAGTAGATATTAATTGTGTGTTTTACTCACCACCACAATGATATTAACTGTGACATTATTATGAGAAAAATTGAAAAAAAAAATATTATGATTTCATATGATTTCAACTAAATAACAAATTTTTATTGATTTGTAAAATTCAATTGAAAACATTTTGTTTATAGAGACGAAGGGAGTAATTCCTAACAGTCCGCACTAATCTCAACACAAGCTTAAACTAGCTTAGTTCATTGAAATGGCTAGGCAATCAACGGTTCACATCATAGATCCGAATTGCAATTATAATGCTTAGTAGTTCCTTAGTTGGCAATATATAAATAAATCCAAAACTTCTACACATAAATTAAACAAGAGGCATTACAAACTATGAATAACTAGTTGTTGGCCTCTGGTTCCTTTCTTTTGCCACTAACCAAAACATTACCTACAAAGTATTAAACAAAGAGGTGAAAAAACATCTTAGTAACCAGAAGATCCTAATTATACAAGCATAAGCATTTAAGATTGTGTAAAGTGTGTATGAGCAAATATAATTCACATTATCACATTAATTGGGCATGCATGATTATTATGACCTCGTATCCCTTCCTTATTCCTTTTGATCGAGTTTATGGGTTATAATTCATAATAAGACTAATCCGTGTAACCGAATTAGTTCAAGCTCTCCATTCTCCAATATTTGAGGGATAACTTGACCAAAGGCCACCACTCCTAAATTTAAACTATAAACTTCCCTACTAATTAAATTCTCACAAGGTGTCATTTGTTGCTGATAATAAATATCCACTCCCGCAGTAAATATTATCGACTAAGCCAAAACCACACCTAACTCCTATTAAAATAGGTGTCATAGCTATATAACATTGGTAGCTATCTAAGTGTTGTTTATGAAACGTGAACTTATAATACAACAATCTCCTGTTTAGAATGAACTCTTGTCCATTTCACTTTTATAGTCATACCATTATGTTCATTAGTACATGCATGCATAATATCATTATAATTGGCATATTTACCATGCCAATAATATCATTCTTTTCATACATCATACTGAATTTCATAAACATAGGCATTTTTCTCAAACTCAATTCTTAACATAATCAAATTATTCTCATTGTACTTAATTTATCCACAACTTCCAACAATTTAACTTATACCCACTTTACACTTTTTTTTAAAGCATCAAAGGAGCATTTTCATATATAAATATACATTTCACAACTTTATAATACTAAAAACAGTTAGAACATGCATATAATAGAATTTAGGTTTTCAGTTATCCCCACCTCTTAAATAATTCAAAAGGAGCACCCATGGATTCTTGGTACAACAATGCTCCCAAATGCCCCAAGAGCTCAAGAGAGTTAGTCTACAATTTAGACAACTCAAATTATCAATTTATAGCTGAAAACATGATTTTCCTAACTACTCAGTTTACTCAAAAATTCCAAAATTCATTTTATTAAATAACTTTGCTATCTAATAGTTCCATTAGCTTCATTAGAGGTTAACGAGTCTAATTAAACCCGTTATCCATTTACTTAATCCCCAATTTCCTCAATTTTGAGGTCTTCCAACTTGCTCAAAATCACAATTAAATTCAAACTAAAAATTGTAAATCAATTAAATCTCA